TACAAATCAATAATATTATAATGACTAGGTATTTATTCCTAATCCATTTGCCCTGGAAAACTGACAGCAAAAAAGTATAACCTTTCTAAATATGATTTATTTATCTGAATAACTTAATTGAAATTTTCATCTGTGTAATAATAGTTCTGATAAATTAATTTAGGATGCTCTTTTAAAATGCTTAAAGAGGGAAGCATGACCAATTCACGATCCCCAAGGATACACCAGTTGGCACAGTTCAGAATGATTCCTTTCTATGCAGCAATGCACCAAAATAATGGGTGCAAAATGTAAATTATTCTGGAAACAAGGCTTAGAAGAATGAATACCTTTTCAGAGCAGAACTCTAAAAATGCCACTGGATTTCCCAAAATAACATTGAGTTCCTATTTCCTGGTTTTTTAAAAACCTTTTGCAAACTTATTTTTTTTGAATGTGGAGAACAGAAGAAATGGTTATGTGTTATTCACTTAATTGCCAGTTAAAATAGATAATTTGCAGTGCAATACATTCTCAGCAAAGTGCTCATATAACTTTTTTTTGTCAAAAGCATTTTATGATGGGCCATATATAGCCTTTGAGATAATGTTGACTCCTGTTAATTGCCTGGATTAGCCCCTTCAGTTTTCTTGGCAAAATTTTCAGAAGTAGATTGCCATTGCCTTCTTCTTAGCGCTGAGAGAGATTGAATGGCCCAAAGTCATCAGTTAACTTTTTACCTAAGGTAGACTACAGTAGTACTTACAGTCTCCTGGTTTCCATCTTGATGCCTTAATTCATTATATCAAAGAGGGAGACAGTCCTTCCACCCTTGCTGATTATCCTCTTCTCTTTCCCAGACTTCTCCGGAGAGATAGGTCTTCGCATTATGTGCCCAAATTATGACATTTTGACCCTGGTCATTTGTGCTTCTAGTCAAACGTTTGGGTTGAATTGTTCAACGATTTATTTGTTTGCTTTCTTGGCTATTCTTGAGGTATTTTCAAGAGTCATCTCTAACACCAAGGCTCAAAAGTATCAGTGCTGTTTCTATCCTGCTACTTCAAAGTCCAACTTTACCTCCCTCAGAATGTCATAAAGAAGACTATAGTCGGCATTATTCTAAACTTTGTAGATATAGACATAACATGGTATCTGAGGCATTCAGTAAGTGTATGTGTGGGGGGGAGGGTTGTGTTTGTATGTGTATACCTTTTGAGTAACCACTGTGCATGCCTGAAGTAAATTGCAGAGTGGAAAGAAGATAAAATATTAAAAAGTGAACATTGAAAGTAAGTTATCTAAGACTGAAGGCACAAAATGATACCAACATACCAAATGATGCTAATCTACACTCTTTCACAAAAGAATTCACAAAAGAATTGAGAATACAGAGGTGGTAAAGCATATAAGGAACGGCTGCTGGAATTGGGTATGTCTAGTTTAACAAAGAGAAGGAAGAGGGGAGACATGATAGCAGTGTTCCAATATCTCAGGGGCTGCCACAAAGAAGAGGGAGTCAAGCTATTCTCCAAGGTGCCTGAAGGCAGGACAAGAAGCAATGGATGGAAACTAATCAAGGAGAGAAGCAACCTAGAACTAAGGAGAAACTTCCTGACAGTGAGAACAATTAACCAGTGGAACAACCTGCCTCCAGAAGCGGTGAATGCTCCAACACTGGAAGTTTTTAAGAAGAGATGGACAGCCATTTGTCCGAAATGATATAGGGTTTCCTGCCTGAGCAGGGGGTTGGACTAGATGACCTTCAAGGTTCCTTCCAACTTTACTATTATTATTATTATTATTATTATTATTATTATTATTATTATTATTATTATTATTATTATTATTATTATTATTATTATTATTATTATTATTATTATTATTATTATTATTAAAATGATGTTTTACCACATTCATGAATAACACTTCAAGCCAGATTCCTTGAAGTAACAAAATTAGTGGCGTGCAACCTATTGTCATGAAAGATAAAGACATAGCTTTGTAGCTGCAATAGAAATGCTACAAGCAGGCATCAGCTGCTAATACTAATACCCATAGTTACTGTCCTTAAAATATTCAGAACCTAGCAACATTGTTAGTTTTCAGCTGCCACTATCCCAAATGGGCCTTAAAAATGAATCTTTAATATATTTCTGTCAGGCATGGTTGGGTGGTCTTGAATTCCTAATTCCAAAATATATCTGTTTGCTAGCAGTGCTAGCTTTTCATGTGTTTTAGCATGAATAGGCATAAAGCATTTAAAATAATAGTTACACAAATATGATAAGATGTAAACATCGGATTGAGTTTTGTAATCACTACTGCATGCAAATGTAGAAGCAATATTTCAGAAATAGGTATGCAGTAGGCTTATGGGTGAGGTTTATTACTTTATGATAATAAAGACATAAATAATTTAAAGTACTGTAATAATAAATAATTGCTTTTAAATTATATGAGTAGTTAGAGGTTGGTTTTGGAAAGCTAAATCAAAAATGATGAGACAATTCTGCCTGAGTGTATTTTATTAATAGAAATGAAGACAGTGAAGATTTTTGTGACACCTTAAAGACAAATGTATTTGGAAGTTTAAACATAATAAGTTTTGGCTTTCTTTACTGATTTGTCTGTGTTGTGGTGAAGAGAAGATTAAAACACTGGCCAAAGGGATTCTGAATATGGTCTTGGTGCAAATAACTAAAAATCTAAGAACACTATATACACTGCATATAACATAGGTGTTTTCTGTTTGAAGAAGGAAATGTCAAAAGAAAGAACATTTCCATTCAAACAATTGAACTTGCTTAAAATAGTGTGTTAGACCTTGACTCTATAAAATAGTTATAATTCAAAACTATTTTATTATTGGAATATTGATATATAAAATATCCTTTATTAGAATAGAATTAATTTATTCTAAACAACCAACCTATATTTCAGTACTTTAAATGGATAAACTTGCAGCACTTTGCTTTTAATTCTGTGAATTTAGCTTAATGGATCTAATTTCATATTTCTATTCATATTTCTGTGTACATTTTAATAAATCATTTTAGATGGATACCAAATTTTAGTTAAACGATAAAAGGGATGTGGAAATATATATTAAACACAAACAGCGGGTTTATGTTCACATAGGAGTTAACCTGTCAAACATGGATATGCACAATCGGCTCTAAACCTTTTTCTCTGAATAATTGTATTCCGGCTGATTAGATCCTAGTCTTCAACAAACGCACAGTTAACCTTGAGCCTTGCATGAATTATTAACCAGGTAGAAAATAAAGAATGTGAAGGCATCTTACTGGCAGAAAAGATCAGCTGACCTCTGTCAGCAAGTGTGTCCTGTTCGAGCGAACTTCAGCCAGTTTAAATATTTGTTCAAATTCCGTAATGCAGTGTATGTGTGTGCCTGTGTATACATGGACGCGGGTGTGGATGTATTTTTCTGTAAAGCAGTAGAAGCTAGTGTTCTGTTCCTCACACGTCAAGTACGGTAGCAAAATAAACTCATTCAATTAAACATAAATACAGCAACAGTGGCAACTTGGTGTACATAGCAACTTTCCAGTTATCTCGGATAACACGAAAGTACTAATCATGCTGTAGGCAGTGATATGGAATTGTGACAAGATTGTAAGTAAACAAAGAAAATGTGATTGTGAAGTGGAACTGCGACAATTTTTAAAGAATTGAGTGGTGGCAGACCTTCTGTAAGATTTCAGGATGACCCTAACAGCAGAGAGTATCTGTAGCTCAGGGTTGAATTGCAGAGTTCTTGATGCTTTTTGAGATTGGTTGTTTGATTGTAGATATTTCATTACCCAATTAGTTAATATCATCAGTGCTTGAAACGTCTTCAAGGAAACAGCCAAGCTCAGTGGACAGCAAAAATTCCACACTGCAGGCAATCCAATAACCTACCAGCCTTATTATGTTATTTACTGTATACAACAATTAGGAAAATGAGTCCAAATCCAAGATGGCCCCTCTTTGCAGAGGGTTAGAGAAAAAATTGGTTTTAATACAACCCTGGGCTCTTCCCTGTTCTTCTGCCTTGTCATTTGCAGTTTGTTACCTACACTAAAATCCGTTTGAAACTTACTCTTCCCAGTAAGCATGTGCAAGTATTGTGAATTTAACGGAATGGTGTGCAGGTTTTCCTTTCTTTTTTAAAGAGCCTGGGAACTATGGTTGTCATTGTTCATTTAAATCTGCTTTATGAAGTCCAGCAGTGAAGTCTGTCCAACAATAAAGTCCAGTGGAGAGTCCTATGTCCCCGCAGTGCCTTGGCACTTCTATTGGTCCTGATCCAATTAATTTTGAAAGTTAATCACCTTGACTGCTGCTCTTGAAAAAACACAGCAAAAATAGAGCATTTTGCAATGTTCCTGCTGGGACTGTGGAAGAGGTGGTTGCCCTTTGGCAGGAATTCACTCATTAGCCCACCTTGTGGCTTTTGTGATATGCCCTCCTTCTTTCTCCAGAAGTCAAATCAACAATCCTTGGTGCTGTTCCTGCCCTCCCATCAGTCTCTTCTATCCCACAGAATGATGCCCTTTGCCTTTTTTTTGCTACTGAACCATCCAGCACTCCAAGTCTTGCCATTATTTACTGACCAATCATAGACTAGGGAGGATTCCCTGAAGCCATAGGATGAGGACACCTGCTGCACTGTGCAGCAAGTGCAACTCCAAAGATTTAAGAGAAACAAATGTTAATAATTTAATCTTTCAAAAACAAAAGCAATGTTTTTGAAAGCGAGTATAGAAACATACATTGCTTATTTTTCTTAAATATCAGAAGTGGGAACATAATAAATGGATTCTTATTACAGATTGAAATAAATAGTATATCTGTAATACATTCAGGAAACTACTGGTATCTCTCAGCTTATTGCAAAAAACATGCTTGTAGAAAGCAGAAGCCATTCAAGTGTAATAAGATTTTTGTAAAATGTTATTTTATGTTATTTGTGCTTACTTTGGTATTGAATTAGATTTTGAATTTCCTTTCAGCCACAACCACCAAATTACCACATTTAAACATCCAGTGACTGGCCAGTTTTCCCCAGAAAACTTGGAGTTCATTTTACAAGAGGAGTAAGTAGATTGATTTGCCTTACACATCTAATAACTATTCTTAACCTCTAATTAGTAGTTGAAGTTCTACAAGCTTATTCTATAACTGCCTATTAGTGTCTACTGTTGTTTCATTCCAATTGCTTATGAATGAATGATGGAACAATTTTTTCCCATTGTATGCTCTTTCATCCCAGGCTCCAAAAATAAAAACACTTTCCTCCATTAAAAAACTGAGGTTGAATTACATTTTTTATTGTGACAAGTGGAAAATTATTAGATACATATGAATAATAATACATATATCATTTAATTTATTGAATGACAATGAAATTCTAGCCCTTTTCAGTTCTTTGTCTTGGCAATCTTCCCACCGCATTTCTCACCATGCTGTTCAAAGGTAAACCCCTCAGCCTGAAAAGAGTTGTATACCCCTTTTCAAAAAGTGCACAAGTTAGCAAGGAACAAAAAGAAGTCTTCAGAATATTGATTTGTGCCAAAACAAAGATAGAAGCAAAGAAAATGCAACTCTTTATGTAAAACATTAAAATATTTTCCTCAGATACAAACATAAGAAAACAGATGTTATATAGCAAAAGATGTTATAACACTTATTAAGTGTACCAGACCATCAGTTCAAAAATGCTATGAACATAATAATATTTCATCCTTATTTCAGTATTGTTCGTGTACATTATTATATTTGGGATATTTTAAAAGGATTTATACCTTTAATCAGATGCTTTGTACATGTGGAAAAATAAATTTTTCATTTAAAAAAAACACATATTCTTAAAATATACAATCAGTTAAATTGTTGAGTCCCGAAAAAAACATTAAATTGAAGATAGATGGCAGTTAATCTTCTCTTGTCTTGAGTGAAACCATGAAATTCATTGTTATGGTTTCACTCGCTGCTTTCTCCTGATAGTTTGGTCTTTTATAAGAGAAATAATGAACAATGACTCAATAATTGTTTTAGTTGTCTGTTTTTATGTATTCCTTGATTAAATATCAGTGACAACAATGGAAACATTCTGGACATTATGTTTGTCAGACCTTTTATTTGTCTGTGTTAAGCTAGATAAGACTGGTCAGATTTCAGGGCAGCAATATTTTATGACTTCATTTAGCCATAACCTTCAACAGAAAATTCTGTCATGTTGCTAATTTAAGTCTCATCTTTTTTTTGCAACCTGTGCTATTGCTTGAAGATTTAAAATGCAAGTCTTCATACGATCAAATTCATTTTTTCTACCACAATCAATAAGAAATCAGATGGTCGTTAAGTGACTTATACAGTATGGTTGTTAAGCAAATCCAGCTTCTCCAATTGATTTTGCTTGTGAGAAATCATCTGGGGAGGTCACAAATCATGATCACATGACTATGCAATATGCTGTAACCATTGTAAATGCAAACCACTTACCAAGTGCCCGAATTGCAACCACATGACCATGCAGGTGGTGTGATGGTTGTAACTTCGAGGATGAATCATAGATCACTTTTTCCAAGACCATCACAACTTTGAACCATTGTTCAGCAAATAGTTGTAAGTTGAGGACTGTATTTATTGTGCTAATTCTAAAAAAAAAAAACCTTTTAGAAAGGAAATTGGAGAGTGCGGACTTCATTTTAAATTTAGATTTTGATGGGAAAGTTGCAGTCTTTGCTCCTATGGCAGGCCTAATCTGGATTACATTCCCAAGACTATACTTTCCTTTTTCAAAGCCAATTATGCAATTACACAGCATCACCTGACTAGGCTTTTGGGGAACTTGGACAGGCCTGATTAGGATGTAAATATTAAGAGAATTAAAAGACTTCCAGAGGATTCCAGGTCTGTAAGATAAGGTTAAAAAAACCTTGCATAATAGCCAGCCACTGTATCGCTGCTAAAAAAGCTACATGGTCTGTAAGCCATCAGGAGTAAAATTTGATTTGAAGGTTTTACCTTTTTTAATGATATGAATGATGTTTTATCTGGCTTAAGCTATTTACTGAACTAGTGAGCTAGAAACAAGGGAAAGTTTGCAGCATTACTTTATCCTAGTTCCACTGTTTTAAAAAAAAGATTAAAAATGAATTAAATTGTGATTTCTTACTTTTAGGCATAATTCACATATGTCCAAACATCAGATAAACCAAAGACCTTCAAGTATGGTCAGTGAAACATCTACTGCAGTAACTACATCCACTACAGATACAAAACTTGGATCCAAGGTAAATGTGAGTTTTTAATTAAATTTGAAAAATGAAGCATATTAAGAGAATGAACTGTATTGGGGGGCATTGTGCCAATATTAAATCCATAGAAGAAATTCATGGATGCGTTTAGATTTGAATTAGACATATCCCTCTTACCTATTTTCTGTGTTCTTAAAGATGTGTAGGGGGTTGATCCTAAGTGTGCATTGCTGTTGTACTCTTGTGCTAAGCATTTATTTAACATATAGTTTGGTGCTTGGACTTACAGTTTATTTGCTGAACATTGTAATTGTATGAAAAAAATCTAAATCATTAGTCTTAAAGGCATCTCTTATGTGGTGGGAAGCTTGATGTAAACACTTCTAGGAAAACACTGTTTTATACCCCAGAGAGTAAATATTTTAATGAAAATGGTTAATACAAAAATAAGAATAACTTACCTATTATGCAACACAAACAGATACAGAAAAATAGTAAACTGAATATTTTTATATTTTATTCTTACAAACCCAGCTATAAATCCCAAAATAACTTGAAAATGTTCCCAAGAAAATTCTACTATAGCATCAAATAGCCAATTATGGCACTTTTGTATTTAGCTTGTTCTTTTTCATTGATGAACGAAAGTTTATATCAGGACTTTTGTCAAGTGTAGGAGATCAGGAGAAAAGGCAGTTCAAATCAATACAGATTTATAGAATGTTAAGACTCCCTGCACTGATTTGAACTACTAAAGATCAAAGCAAATTGGCGGTAAATAAAAATCAACAAATTCAAAGTAACTTGGACTTAGATCTTTTCTGGTACAAAGGGATTTGAGACTGATCACATGCTTGATCCCTCCCTCAAGCTCAGTCTGGTCATCTACAGCTTTTGTGTCCAAAAGTGTATTTGTTCTGATCTTACTGAAGCATTATTCTGTAGGTTCACATGAATATTAAAACAGAAAACTAGCAGAGATCTAAGTATAAATACATAAATATGTGCAGATTCACTTAACCGTATTACTAACTTAACAACTGCAGTGATGTTGTTGACACACAACTATGTCAAGAAAGGTCGTAAAATGGGGCAAAATTCCTTTAGCTGTCTTGCTTAGGAATGGAAAATTTGGGATGAATTGAAATTGTAAGTCAAGGACTACCTGTACAGCAGTTTTCTCTTTACTACCTCCCAGTTTGCAAAGATCAAGCAATAGGGTTTGAAGGACTGAAAAGTTGTGAATTTGTAATTCAATAGTTCATTATTATGATGTTGTCAAATGTTTGCTTCTGCTGATTATTTTGTTAATTTAGTCAACTACTAGTGTAAATTACACAATCAGTAGCAGAATATAAATTCTTGTATTATTCCACTGTTTCTTTGGAGTTAATCCTAAATATAGTTTGTACTTGCTTATCTTATATATGCTTTTTTTTTTAGTTAGTAAAATCTAGCAATAAGGTTCATAGCTTTGGGAAAAGGGATCAAGCTATAAGGAGAAACCCTAATATTCCTGTTGTGGTCAGAGGCTGGCTTCACAAACAAGTGAGTATTATATTTTTTTTAAAAAAAAGTTGCTTTGATTTACAAAGAACAGGGGATAAAAGAAGAAATGAACTAACCAAGAAAAGATAAAAAAGGAAATGAGAAAAGTGTCTTATAATAACTATGAGGAAAATCATTCAACCCATTTTTAAACACATCATTAAACTTTAATCATACTGAATCTTTCTGATCAATCTTTCTATTACACCAGTAGAGTCAGTTCACACACATCATCAATCCAAAACTGTAAATCTGGAGTCATGCTGAAGGGTACCCTTTTTTTTTATTACACCCCATGTTGGTAAACCCAAAATTCTTCATAGTAATAAATTCCACTTTGGGGATATACTGTATAATTAAGAAGTATATTCCTGCTGTTAAACCATGCTGATATTCATAATGATAGATTAACAAATTTACAGGTATGAAATTACAGTAGAACAAAAATAGGACAAAGCATATCATATGGGGGTCTTCTCCATGTCTACTACATGTGCATTAATCATTTCTAACAAGATGCCTGCTCTTCCACTATGCTAACCTCTTTATGCTAATTTCTAACTTTCCTTACCTTCTAGAAGAGCTGTAAAACATTCAGAAGTAGGCTTGATTATGATATGCTATGATAGCTGGCTCTTTTTTAGCACATTTTCATACATTAAAGAGACACATAGTCATTCCAAATTTTATTTAGTATATTTTTGTGTTATTTTATTCTAAGTTTTTACCAGATACATATTGTCATTTGTGTTTCAGGATAGCTCTGGGATGAGATTATGGAAAAGAAGGTGGTTTGTGCTGGCAGATTACTGTTTATTTTATTACAAAGGTTAGTGAATATAAATCTTTGTTTAAAAATATTTCTGCAACTGAGAACTAACTGCATATTGCGTCTGTTGCTTAAAATAAAAATAATAATTGTCTCTGGACAATATAGAAATCAGCTTTTTATTTCCCACTTACCATATTTACCATATATGAATAGGAAGCTTTCCCCCCAATTTTTACCAGTTACTTTAGAATGCTACGCTGCATTCCTTAAGAATAAAAGACAGCTATTAAAAATAGTAGAGATGCAAATGAGTACAGCTATTATTAAAGTAAGCCTGAAGAATGGCTTGAGAAGAATTCCTTATCTAACGGATTTAACTTTTTGTAAAGTACAAACAGGGCTTCTTTCCTTAGTTTTTCCTTCCCTGCTCAGCCCCTTCTCCTTTTCCTCATCCATTGCTTAATCCACATCCATTTTTCCCTCTTTATTCTTCCTGCAGAAACAACAGAAATTAGGTGCATTATTTTATTATTCTTTTGTGAGAGTGGTTTGAAAGAGAAAGGTTAGTATATTCAGATGTGGATTCATTAATGTACAACATATTTTTCAGGCTATTCATTTTAATTAGTTATTAATTTATTTAATACTGGTTTTATTCTAGCCTTTCCCTTTTTTCTACTGAGATTTTTAACAGTTATAGATACATGCTTGCTTATGTGCATGGATGTATATTGGTGTGTCATATACTCACATTTGTTGGCAGAAGGAATCTCCAAGTTGGCTTCTGGTTGGCAAACCTGGGTTGACCAAGTGGGCACAAGATTTTTGCACAAGCAACACACAAGATATGCTTACATTTCCCCCCCCCCATCTACTCCTTTTGGAATTTAGGTTTATCTTTTGTTTGGCTGAATATGATATTTGAGGGAAGGTTATCCTTAATGGCTGTTGCATTTTATAAGCATGCATTTCTGATATTGCACTGACAGATCAATTGTTGTATATACTCCTCATATAGAGAAAGTAAGAATTACTGTTTATTTATTCAGGCATCGCATACATCTTCACTAGCAGTCTTTTTCTTTTGAATACTTTTAACCTTGTGAACAATGATGCATGGTCCAAGTGAAGAATGCATAATTAGAGCAAACTGAAACGTACAAATGCCTTGATCTTCTTATTTAAATGTGAAGTGGAAACTTATTGCATCAGTTTGTGTTTTTCATACGTACTTCATTTCTCTCATATGTCAGCTCTACAATTATTGACATGATCAGGGAATTTGAATTGGTATGAAATTTAGTAGAGGAGGAGAGACAATTCCAAGCTGAAAAATTACTATTCCATTCTCTGGTTTAAGCTTTGCAGGATGAACTGAACACTGTTGGAAACAGGACATTGAATTATATTTTTTGATATTGTTGGGAAGTGATTTACATTGAACTATATACTACAATGTATTTGCAGAATATTTAGCAATGTGGGCAGAAATTGGAATCTTCTTTATAGAGGGTTATATAATATTTTTTTCTAGCTCTCAATTCACTATTTTTTATTGGAAATGCAAAGGATTGAACCTAGGGCCTTCTGCATGCATACATGTGCTTCCCCACTATATTGTAACCACTCTTTAGTTTTTATAATACTCATTGTCTCAATTGGAAGATAGCATTTGGGTCTACTGAACATTTAGTACCTCCTGTTCTCCAGCACTTGGAGATGGAGACTCCACCATTGGGTAGTAGACTGTATTCCTGCCCAATCAGATCAAGTCAGCCAAAGTTGCCACGCCCGTCCTGGACCCTAGACTCCAGTCTTTGACTTGATCTTGCCCAAGACAGACGTTGCAAGTTTGGCTCTAGGCAGGTATTATTTCTCAATGGTGGAATTTCCACTCCCCTTCTTTAATGGGGTTTCCTTTTAAAATAACCTTTCTCCTTCCCTTCTCTTAGGGGTATTGAGCCTATAAAATTTGCCCTTCCAAGGAAGGGGTTCCTCCCTCTCTGTCTCTCCTTCCCCCCTCCACATTCCCTACCGGGCCTTTCTAACGGAGGCTAACGGCTGTTAGCCTCAAAAAATTCACCCCTCACACTAAAATTACCGGTAGGAGACTAACGGCTGTTAGTCTCCAAATTCCTCTGAGCCGACTGAGCTTGCGGCTGCAGCTCCACAGGCTGTCGGGAGGTTGGGGAAGGCCGGGAGGGGGGTGCTTCTTCATTTTCTTACGATTCCTTCGGAAGGAGACCAAAGGCCGTTGGTCTCCGGAGTCTTCTGTTTTACGGAGCTTGCGTTTGCAGCTCCGTGGATAGATTGGGTGCGCGAGGCATCCGATCGCGGTTATTTCGTTTTGCGGAGCTGCGGAGGCAGCCCGGGGCCTGTTTTTGTTGCTAGGCCTTCTAGAGATTGAGAGCAACTGGAGGTGCGCGCGCGCGTGCAGCCTCTACTCCGATCAGGCATCTAGCAGGCTGATCGGAGAACGAGGGAAAGATTTCTTTGCTTTTTTCTCCGTTACTTGCTCGCGTTGCGGAGACAACAGGCAGTGAGTTCGTTTCTATTGCCTCATTGCGGGCAGAGTCGTGGGAGGTCGCCATTTTGGACCTCACGGTCCCTGGTTATAGGCCGCGGCCGCCATTTTGGGCACCATACATTTCAGCCAGACCTTCACTCTGATTTCCTTGAAGGGGGGGAAAAAAAGTAAAATTGGTTCGTTGACTGCAAACCTTTTTTTGCACCTTTAACAGTATTTCCATCCCTTAATTCCAACATGGGCTGGAGTAATCACAGGATTATTTAAATCAAGGGCAGGCCACCATTTATCTTAACGGCCGCCATTTTGTATATCCCTCCCTATATATCTAGTGAGCACCTGTTGCTTCTCAATTATTCAATCAACCTTCAGTCTCAGTTAACTACTTCTTCTTTGGTTTGAAGTCTCCTGGTCCTTTAATTTGTTTTTTTACAATTGGCACTGACTGGGATTCCAGACAACCCCTATAGAGTGTCTGTCCTTATCCCAGCACTTAGATACGAGTTCCAGGCGATCCCTATAGAGCGTCTGTCCTTACTCGTACGTTAATATCACCCCTTGGATTCCAGGTGCCCCATCAGAGTACCTGTCCTTATCCAACTGGGAATTGTATCTGGGTTACAGGCGTCCCTTGTAGTCCGTCTGTCCTTACCCAGATTTTAACGTTCTCCAGACGACAGGAGCCCCCTATTGTGTTCCACTGTCATCGTGGAATGGAGGAAACTGTTTTGTCTTCCTCATTGAGTGCCCAGCCATCCTCATCGGGTTCACTCGGTCTGGAAGGCACTGGTAAAGCGACCCTTAAGGGGCGATCTACTGCCAAAATTACTAAACAATCTGATAAACAGGCTACCAGGAGACACCAAGCCTTGGGAAAAGGAGTTTTTCCAGAGAGCAGAAGAGAGCCAGAATAGAGACATATGAGTCCACGGGATTAGTCCTCTACTTACCCCTTGGGGTATCAGCCTCACCTAGGGGTGTTTAGTCGGGTGGGGAGTCATTCCCTTCTACCACGCAGGGCAGAACGGATGATGTTCATTTGTTTCCCAGCCTTCCTTGTCAAGGACAGCGCAGGGGGTTCCTGAGGCCACGTTTACCCCTAATGCGGCAGGGTTTCGCCCGGCTGACCCAATTCCCTTCCCTTCGGAAGAGCGTCTGGCTCTATTACTCACACAGGCGGTTGACCGTGCTCTGGATGCCAGAAAGCGGGCCGTTAGGCCACTTCCAACTCCTGTCCCACGGTTAGAGGATGAGACCCATCATAATTCATCGTCCCCATCTGGGTCTTGTGTTTTGAGGATTCATACCTCATCCATTCCCCTCTTGAACAGGAGATCCAGTGGTCAGAGGAAGAACAGGTACCTCAACAGATACCCATGTTTGCTGGCTTATTTAACCCTGCTTTCTTTGTTTCCATACTGCGCAAGACCACGTCCAGGGCTCATCTGTGACAGGGTTCCGCAGCTGTAGAGGATCCCGCTCCGCCTGATGCGAAGACGGCTCCAGGTTACGTAGAACCGGTTGCGTCGCAACACCGTATCTCCTGTTCTTCTTATCCCTGAATGTTATCAAGAAACAGTGGTCATCTCTGGCTTCGATTCCCTTGTTAGTTACTTCGGACAAAAACTGTATAATGTGACCAAGGAGCTGGAGGAGGCTCTGGAGGGTTCCGGAGGTGGTCGAACCATTGGGAGCCCTGGTATCAGCCACTGCCATAACCGGCGAATTTCAGAAGCCCTTAAGGCCGAGGATCGCAAGTGCGAGTCCAGTTATAAGAGGACGCACCAGACCACCACCTGGGCGATCAGGGCTGATACCTCCCCCTCCCTTTTTCAGTAGGACCGCCCTCACCTGCATCTGGGAACTCCAAGCCCGGATTCCAGCTAATGAGGTCCGCACGCTCCTGGACCTCAGTAAGATGGTGGCGGTTACCGAGTATACGTTGGACACTTCCTCACAGGCCGCCAAGGTTTCTTCCAGAGCTTTGGCATCCAATATAACTGGATGCCACATGCTCTGGCTGAAACATTGGCAAGCGGGCGCTAAGTCCAAATGGAAATTAGCAGCCGCTCCTTATCAGAGTTCTAAGTTGTTTGGGGATTCTTTGAATCCCTACTTAGCAGAAGACAAAGATAACCGCAAGGTCCTTAAAGACTTGCTAAAACGGCAAAATAAGGTCTAGCTACTTTCCACGAAGGCAGTCCTTTCGTGGGGAGCGAGATAATTAAACCCAACATTTTCGCTCATTTCCTCCCAGGCAGGACAGGCAGGATAGACAGCCTGATAGACACAATCCTGAGCCCAGGCAACAACCTCAAGGGATACGGTCCTTTCGAGGGAACAACAGGTTTTTTCGCCGTTCAAGGTGACTCATCGGCGACTCCTCCCATAAGGGGCTGACTTGCTCTGTTCGCCCACTAATGGGAGACAACCACCACAGATACGTGGGTACTCGACACCATTCGCCATGGTCTCAGGTTGGAGTTCGTCTCCTACCCCCCAAATCGGTTCCCCTTTCCTGTCCGCACCCCCGAAACCGTTCAAAACAAAGGCTGATGGACGATGCAGTCCAACACTTGTTACGCATACGAGCCATAGAGCCCGTACCACTGGGTCAAAGAGGTCAGGAATTTTACTCCATCCTCTTTGTGGTTCCGAAAACATCAGGAGGATGGAGGGCTATTCTAGATCTCAAACAAACTTGAATTTCCATCGACGGTTTCTACGGTCATGTACAAAGGAAGTCACTTCCAGTACAGGGCACTTCCATTTGGTCTATCATCGGCTCCCAGGGTGTTCACCAAGGTTCTGGCGGTCCTGGCAGCACATTTACGGTTGAGGCCAGTCAGAGTCCAGGGTTATCTGGACGATACTTTAATTCAGTCATTATCCACCCGGTCAGCTGTGGCGGATCTCGAACTGGTAATAAACCTGCTCCAGGACTACGGATTCGCGGTGAATTTCCCAAGAGCCACTTGGTGCCTACAACGAGGCTCTTGCTCCGGGGGGGGGCATTATTGACATGATGGAATGTCGGGTGTACCTGTCTCAAGATCGCAGAGACAGCATAAGGGTGTCGATCCTTCTGCTGCACAGGAGTCGATTGGTAACACTGGGCAGTCCCTCCCAGCTGTTAGGGAAGTTGATCTCGGCCATAGCGATCGTCCCATGGTCCAGGCTCCTCTCCAGGGAGCTGCAATGCTTCTTGCTCCCTTTTCAGAAGAGGAACCTCGGCGCCTCACGACACAGGGTAGTTCTTCCTCCAACGACTATTACGCTCCCTCAGGTGGTGGCTTTCTCCAGCCATACTCAGAGCGTTAGGTTTCAAGGAGCCGGACTGGAGTGTACTCACGACCGATGCCAGTTTAACTGGGGGGCACATCTTCGGTAACATTGGGCACAGGGCCGTTGGCCGGCTCTGGACCTGACACAATATATAAATTGGCTAGAGTTGAGGGCCATTCATCTAGCTCTTTGCCATTTTGTCACCTAGTGAGAGGGCGCCACGTGTTGGTCCTCACGGACAATGTGGCGGCCAAGGTCCATGTAAATCGCCAAGGGGGTACCCGGCCTCGAAGCCTGTTGGCCGAGGCTCCTTTCCTGGGTCTGTGGGCGGAACGTAATCTGGTCCCATCCGGCCGATTGTATATCGGGGGTCGCGAATACACAAGCTGACATTCTGAGCAGTTCTACAATAGACCACTCGGAGTGGTGTCTACACCCGCGGATCCTCCGGGGAATCTGTCACCGCTTTGGTCTCCCTTTAGTGAACTTCTTCGCGTCCCCATTCAATGCACAGCTGGATCGCTTCCTTTCACACCTTCCGATGGTCGGAGCGGAACAAACGGACGCTCTTCGGAGCCCTTGGCCTAAGGGTCTCCTTTATGCCTCCCTCCTCTACCTATTCTTCCAGCCGTGGTCCGCAAGCTTCTTCGGGAGTGAGCGGAAATCCTCCTGTTGGCTCTTTCTTGGTCCAGGAGACCTTGGTTCACCGACCTGGTGAATCTTTCTCTGGAGGAACTTTGGCGGATTTCACCAGAACAGATATCTCTCAGTCAAGGGATCGTTCTACGTCAGGACCCACAATGGCTCCAATTGGCCGCCTGGCGCTTGAGCGTTCGATCTTAGCTAGGGAACTCGGCTCACCGGGGGTCATCACAGTCATTCAGGCATTGTGCCGTTCATCCACGAACCGCATCTATGAGGCCGTGTGAGAAAAATTTCCAATCTTGGTGTTCCGGACATTTGTCGCTCACGGAACTGACTATTCCAATTGTCTTGGACTACTGGTTAGATGGTTTAAATAAGGGATTAGTTCCTCACACGCTGCGCAAACAGGTTGCAACTTTGTCCACGGTCCTCAGTTGCGACTGCAGAATCACTAGGTCATCACCAATTGATACGGTCGTTCCTTAAGGGGGCCGCCATCAACAAACCCCCTGTGGTGCACAGGTACCCATCGTGGGAACTGCCACGTGTGCTTCGTGCCATCATCAAATCTCATTTGTGCCACTCAGGACGTGTGACATTCATGTACTGTCCCACAAGGTGGCATTCCTGATGGCAATTACGTCTGCACGTCGCATTTCGGAATTGGCGACATTGTCAATACGGGATGATTCGTGTGTTTTCAACAGGTTAGGGTAATTCTCCGCCTCGACCCTATCTTCGTCCCGAAAGTCAATTCCCTGTTCCATAGATCACAGGAGATAGTGCTGCCTTATTTCTGTCCCAGCCCATCGCATGCGTTGGGGCAGCAACGGCATAGTCTGGATGTCCGCAGGGCTTTTAGGTACTATATTTCGTGGACCGCTGAGTGTTAAAAAAAGTCAGAAGCCCTTTTGCATTTCTTTACACTCCTCTAACGGGTCGAAAATTTCCTCTTCCACTGTGGGAAGATGGATACGGGCATGCATCGCCAGGATGTACCAGGCTGAGTCATTGCCGGTTCCACACGGGATTGCAGCCCATTCTACTTGAAGTGCGGCTACCTCTGTGGCAGGAGCCACTCAGGCTTCCGTCTCGGAGGTCTGTAGAGGAGCCGCCTGGGCTTCACCTTCTCCTTTCTTTTGGCGCTATAAAATTGATAAGTTCGCCTCTGCTGAGGCTTTGTTCGAACGGTGAGTTCTCCAACTAGTTTTACACCAAAGTGCCACTCAGGACCAGTCTACTACCCACCCTTAGGGACAGTAGGCTTTGGTATGTCCCAATGATGGAGTCTCCATCTCCAAGTGCTGGAGAAGGGGCGTTGTCTTACCTGAACGCCTTTTCTCAGCACGGAGATGGAGACTCCACCTCCCACCCTTTTAGGTCATTTGGCCTTGGATCTGTTAGTTTGGTGAGCCACAACGTCTTGCTGTCAGTCAATGGCTACGCTCGCGTCAAAGACTGGAGTCTAGGGTCCAGGACGGG